GCTGACAGCACTGGGATGTAAACAGTGGGAATCCAGATACTGAATTAATGTTAGGCATCGAGAGCTTGTGTTATGCACCAAGGGCATAAACACCCCCTAAATCCTGCATCTAATATTTCCTGTTGGCCGACTCTGGTTAGCTGCCTGCTGAAAGGCCTTTGAAGAGCATAGCTATTTTTGCTGATTTGGCACAGGAATGTAGGTGAAATGTAAGCCACTTCAGAGGAGACTCAGTGCTCCTCAGCTTTGAAAGGATGCTGAGGCTCTGCCTGCTCAGCGTGGTTGTGGGATTCACATATGAATATATAAGGCACGCAAAGGGATGGAGAGGGTATTCTTATCTCTGTTACACCAATACAGAGGCTGAAAACATGAATGCACCTCAAATGTTGTTAATTGCTTCCTTGTACCTTGATGTGCTTAAAAACTGCTAGAAATCAGGTCCTGAGTGACTTGTCTGAGATGTGGAGGAAGCAGGTGGAAGCAGGTCCTGGTACTTTGAGCCCCAGTCATGTCTTCTGCCATCATAACATTAGGATATATCCTTCCCCTTTCTCACCTTATTTTCCATGAGTACTACTCCTAAAACCATCATGACTGCTATCTGGTCTGTTCTGAACTGATTACTTTTTCCCCTGGGTTTTGTCTTTATAGAATTCACTTCAAAATGTGGAAACCCCAGACAAAGGTAAAGTGTTATTTTTAAAATATGTTAATTCAAGATGTATCATCAGAAACCATGTTTTGCTTTTTGTTTGTGCTAGTGAACTGTTATAGTTGGCATATTGCAGCTGTTTGCATATTTAGTCGTACTATAAGGTAATTATGACAAGTTAAAATTTCAGTGATCTAAAAATGTAAACAAAACATTGTATTTCCCCAAATTAATCTGGAGATTCAAATATGGAGAATGAATAGTAGAGTGAAAGAACTGATTACAGTTAGTGGTGGTCATAGCAGTTGTCTTTAATCCCAACTTTTTCTGTAGAGTAAAGAGAAAATAAGGAACTTTATGAAAGCCTAAAAAAATTATTTTTGTTTGGCATTTCTACTTTGCTCCAATATCTTTCATTGCTCCCTCCTTAAGCTTTAGTTCTTTGTTGTCTTTTGTTGTATAGTGTGTTGTCTTAAATGATATACTGTAATAAAAAAAAGTAGGTTAATTAATAGTAACGGACAAAATCATAGACCCTGCCTTATTTAATTCCTCAGTTAAAATTAGCTTAGATTCATTTGCTAATGCCCAGTACTGTTAGCATTACTGCAGAGCACCTCACGGACTGAGGGATGTGCAGGAGCCTGTCCTCTCATGGTTGCCTGTGTCGGGTTCCTGGAGGGGAGAGCCACATCGGGGCACGGGTCCTGCCCTACCCCTCTGTGGCTGGCCTGCCACAGGCAGCTGGGGCGGCTGCTACGTGGATGCTTTCAGAGGACCCTCCATTGGAACCTTGGGGTGGGCTGGGACGTGCTGTGGAGCGGTGGTCTCTTTCTGTTTTGTTTGAGGATAAAAGTGGCCTCTGAGATGCTTTTTTTCCCCCCTTCCCCCCCTCTTTCTTTTTTTTCCTCTGTCTGCTTGTCTTGATTGTGGTGTGCTCAGAGAGGCAAAAAGGTGAACCAACCACAAAGATTGCAGCAGCCTTTCAAACACAGAGAGAGTTCAAATGCAGGATTCCAAATGCCAGGCTGGTTGCTTCACCATTATTCAACTTCATGAACAGCAAACAAACAAAGAAACAGCAATTATATTTGTAAGCTGCCAGGAAACGCTAAGCAGCTGGAGGGCCACGGGAGAACACGCAGGTGCAGAAGGGAGGAGAAGGTAAATACAGTTTGTAGGATTCTTCTCCCTTGGATATAATAATTTATCCCATGATTTATTTTTTTTTAACACTCTTAACAGCAACTAATTGTTGATGATGAAAAGAATGAATAGTTACTAATCAACATCTACCTTAGAAACTTCTGCCTCTGCACACTGTTCAGAAAACCTGGCTGGAAAGTATTTAAAACATTTATCTACTTAAAGATATTTCTAAATTTGGACTTCATTGAATTAGCAGCTTCCTCAAGGAAAATCTGATTTATTGAATAACAGTTAAGGAATCAGATTTTTTTTTACTCTCTAATTCTGTGTACCTATTTATTTATGCCAGGAAACCTTAAACTGTGAGGAGTGGTGCTTCTCTGTTTGTTCTCGGCACACCCTAATTTCATAACAATTGCAGAATCCTTTTGTTAGTGTAATATTAGAAACTGCAATTTACCAATCGCAAGTCAGAACTTGCCAGGCCATTAGTCACTCTGTGGAGAAGCCTACATTCAAAGTTGTCCAAGGGTAACCAAAATTCAAATTGACCTCTTTACATGCAGTGATATACATTTCATGTACATTTTGATGTACTACGTGCCTTACATCCGCACCTATTATGTAAACTTCTAAAAACCAGCAAAATATTTAGAGTTAGGCTAATGAGTTTTAACAGAAAAGTCTAGCTATCATATCAAAGCTGGCATTAAGGGTGTCTGATAAAAACAAAGTGTGAGAGCAATGACCAAAACTGATCTGCTGGAACCTTGGCCTGATCCCCAGGAAGTGGACAAAGCCATCGTACACATCTTTTCTTTTGGGAATCACGAGCTTTCCCTAGTCCCTGTCTTCTCAGTGCTCACCTTCATGATAATGCCGTGGGGCCTCCCACCTGTCGACCTAGGGACAGTGAGCCCGCAAGGAATCCAGATGATATTTTCACCTGCTGAAGCTAGAAGTAAAAACCAACTAGGTGGTGAGATGTACTTCATTATGTTTAGCTGTCTAGGATTGCAGGTGTGCAGAAATTTGCAAGCCTGTGACCCAAAAGTAAAGTAAAATCACCACCGTAGCTCAATGCTGGTAAATTTTTCCAGATCTCTGGGAAGCTAAAAACCATGTGCTTTGCTTTCTGTAGCAGCACAATTGCAAATGAAGTCAGCATTGACAGCCAAGGAGGAACCAGACTGCATTTCCCATTTGTACTGTTCTTTTCTGCCTCTTGTATGTATTCTTGTTTATTTTTCCTCTCCTCTTCCTCCCCCAAGTAATAGTTATTACCCTAAGTATCGTAAAAGTTTTGGTTTTCTTCATTATAGCTTCTCTCTACCACAAAAGAGAAAAAGATAAAAGATACTATTAAAATTAAAGCCTTACTTAATAATTTGTTTAGAAACTGCTTTAATCTTTCTCTTTCATGAAAGATTATCAGCGGTTTAATATTAGTCATTCACCATGGACTAAGGAAGTCAAAGACTGTAGTCAAAATATCTAGCCTTGATTTAGTGTTGCAATAGGTGGCTCTATTAACAGTGTTATCTCTGTAGACCAAATTATTCCATTGCTGCGAACAGAGCCGTACTTATCCATGTTATGCCTAAGTCTGGATCATGTTCTTTTTCCTCTGTATGAAGTCCTTAGAAGATTACATTAATGTTTTAGTACTCAAAGTATTTCTTTATTTCTTCTTAAGTGTGAGGAACGATAAGCATTTCTAGACATTAGCACTCTTCTGCAGCATCAGGTGTTCCCAGAAAATAAAGAATAAGATTATTCAAGTTAGAGATTTAGCATTGGAGTTTGCTGCAATCCAGAGTATGAAGAGACAGGCCGCAAGCTGGTACAAAACCGAGTCCGTGTGTGTTTCTCAGAAGCTGATGAATGGATGCTTATACAACATCTACAGCCTTGCTACTTCAGGCAGGGATTTCACCGGATCAGACATAATAAGCAGCTTTGGGAATTTGATCAGTAGCTCTCTGGGACCTATCCCAGAAAGTCTAGTATGCACCATGAACAGATGATATTGAATCAACAGTCTTTTCTAACTGAAATGCTGGAGTTGCTGTCTTTTCAAGTAAATGCAGAAATCAGATACCTTGATGACAATAAATTTAATAAGGTCATCATTATATTTAAGGGTGTAAAAGTTCACTAATCATGCTTGGGATTTGATAGTTGCTTCTAGACCTTATCATAAAAATATTCACCACAGAGAGCTTCCAAAAAAAGGAAGGGGGAAAAAAAGGAAGGTTTTTTTGAAGGTTTTCCTATATAAAATTGAAAACTTCACTTTCTTCTTTTCCTAGCACAAAGCCATTATAGTTTTGTTTTAGAAAAATCACTTTTTGTTTTGGAATATGAAAAAATGTCAAGAACTTTTTATGGATTGCATTTCATCTGATTGCTTTCACATCTGAGCGTGGCTCTTTACCTCTAAGTTGCTGCTGTGTTACATCCCAATTCGTTGTTCTGAAAGCCAGGGGGTTTTTAGCCAAGACCAATTTTTGAATAACTACAACCCCCCAGTTCTCAAAAAAAAAATTAGACAGAAGTTACCAAGGCCTTGCTACTATATAAAGCATATAGTAGCAGAGACATTTTTGATACCATGACAGCAGGAGATTTTTAAGTTTCTTTCAAGGGATAATTTATTCAGTTCTTAGTAGGAGGAAACAATAAGGTAAATGTTGGTGCTTGGAAACTGCATCTGATCAGCATTTGCATTACAGCCTTATAAAGTTTTGCCTTTTTCTTATTATAATAATGGTTTAATTAATGGTGCTTAGCACCATACCTAAATCTTAGGGGGTTTTTTTGGGGTGTTTTGTATGTGTGTGTGTATGACCTAAGCTATATTTAGGATCTTGCTCTTTTTCTTCCCTCTGAAAATAAGTGGGAAAGAATGATATCAAGCTCTTGTTCTCCAAAATATCTTTAAGGTGTCAAAGAGTCTTAAGCTCTCCTTCCAAATTTTGTTCAACCAGATATTTGTCATGTTTTACCCAGAGAAAACGTGCATATAGAGTCAGAGAGGGCATGTTTAATATGTGTTAAATTGACATCTCATGCTGGTGCAATAACAGCAAAATACCTACTCTGGAAGGTCTGGCACTGAAATAATATGTGAATTGTAATACTGAACTGAGAAGAAGAAAGTAAGTGGTTTTCTATAAGGAATGTGCTAGTATGTTCCTTACTAAATCTTGAAGGCACCTGCAGGTATATTCATTAACCCCTTTAGGGATCGTATAGATTGTTCTGTTTCTCACCAAGGATGAAATTTATTCCTTCAAACTTCATGTACAAGGAACACGTGTCAGAAATAAGTATATTTGGCAGCTGTGGATAAAGTTCACTTCCCTTGGTCTCATCTCGTTTCTGCAAGTTCTTCTCACCTTCAATGAGAAGGTGATGCCAAATAATTTCACACCAGAAATAGATTTTGATTATTAACCTTGGTCACAATTCACTTTGTGATGTGGTGTATTCATTGTCTCCTGGATACTGGCTATGCCTCAGATGCCTTTCTAGAAAATAAACTCTGGCAGAGCTGAAGCTGTGAATCCACTGTAGGAAGTCACTATCCTGTGCTATGTAAATCAGTGAAACACCATAGTCCTTTCTCATCTAAGATTTATTAATCATAAAAGTAATTAAAAGCAGCAGAGTTCCCTGGCTTCATGAATGGGCGATATAATTTCAGTGTACCAAATCCTATTCAGCAGCTCATAAAAATATAGTGAAAAGATGCTGACCAACTCTTGTGAGTAATGGACACTTTACAGACTAGCCAAGATGTTTGTCTCTAATTTAGTTAATTGCTACTGGGCTTAATGAGTGAAGCTGGGGGTGAGGGGGGAAGGGCTGACTCTGGCACAGAAAGCATAGAGTCATTTTAAACTGAGAGCTGACAAGAGTAAGAAAATGAATGTAGAAAAAATGCTGCAACTGCAGACGAGGTCATACTTGGACATTTGCTTACACCTGAGGAACTCTATTCCTGAGAAGATCTTCATGCTAGATCTCCTAATAATTAGATAAATAATGCTGAAGTTTCATTTATCTCCCTTTGCTGGCAGCTGAACTGGTTGCCGTGTTGCTGTCTTCACCCCTCAGATGCCATCTTAGCACGAGAGACAGCCTGTAGTGTCTCCCCGCCCAGGCCCTGCTTCAAAACTGGCTCCATTTCTGCATTCAGGCACAGACTGCAAGCCCATAGGTGAAAGATGGACATTTAAGAGAGAGGAAAACATTTCCTAGCTCCCTTCATCTGGGAGTCTCATGGACATCGTCTGCAACTAAGTGAAGATGTTAACCTTGCCCCATCTAGCCACATAAATCTTGTAGGGTGGGCAGGTCCTTGACATCCAGGAAACTTTTTTCATCTTATCACTGACAGATTGAAGAATGTTATAAATAATCAAGGCCAAAATTGTCCTTTTTCTTGTTTTCCCTCACTTTTGGCGAGTGGTTTTTGTTTCTTTGACTGTTTTTTACGTATCTGGCATTCAGTTTTGTCTCTCAGGTAAATCATCTTCTGCAGACATGGCCAGTGGACAAGATAGGTTGATATAGCAAGGTATCTTGTATCTTATTCACTTCCTTGCCTGGCATTTGTAAATTTTCTATTATGGAAAATATTTACCCTATCAGGTACGTTTCTCCTGATTTTTTAATTTTTTTTTTTTTTGTCTAAGGAGTATTCCCTTTTTTTCTGTGGCTTAGCTGAAACACAATACATTTCCTCTTGTTCTGGAGACAAAATCTGAAATGTTGCCTTACAGCCTAGAATATGGATTGTGTAAAACCTGCTGCTTTGGTGGCCAAAAGGTACATTTCAACACACAGC